ACTGAGTTAATTATCTTTATGGCTACAGCGCGATCGCTGCGCGACTCATAATCTGAATGCGTTTTTTAGACCGATCCTTAATATTTCTTAACGCACTGAAGAATGCGGCAAAGGAAATTTAATCACGGAATTCGAAAAGAAAAAAAATAAAGGAGCGGCTAATTCAATTCAAATGTTTCAGCAAATCGAAAATTAGCCATTATGAGTACCAGCTTAACTGATAAATAAATTTCCTAGACCGCTTTCCAGCAATTAATTCAACAAAATCAACGCCCGCCCGTCGACAGTATGAGGGAATTCGAAAAAGCAAGAAATAACTGTGCGAGCGTCGTTGCACGTAAATCGACATAATTTTTCTGAGAAGGCTTTATCACTTCAAATCTAACAACCCTTCTAACCAACTCCTCCAGTCCGGTGGTCCAACAAATAATTTCCAGCATTTTCAAAAAAAGTGAAGCCGCGAATCATCACGGCACAATAACAAACAATAACATCTTTTTTCGACTAGAATGTCACCTATTTTGAAACGCATTCTAGTGAGTCAGTGAGGAGCTTACAGTTCGTGCCAACATCATGTACAGTCATGATGATTGTTTTCCCATTACGATCATCCAGATTTCCTTGCACATAAACATGGATGAAGCCGCATTTTGCCGTTTGTATCGAAATCATCTGAAAACCGCCAAAAAAAAACTTCATTTTCTTCATATAAAAGCGTCAGCCTGCCGTCGCAAGGGCGAACGAGGAATGCTGAAATCCTCCTTAAGTTGTGTCTAATATGAACAGCGCAATAAAAAATACTATGCTTAGTCAAACAGAGTCTATAAGCAAAACTTGTAACTCAATGTTCAGGGATTCATTCTCTTGAAATTGTAAGGGTGGAGGAATCGCCTACAATTTTAGTGATAACGTTTCTAGTAACATACAACGACTAAATTCTTCATTTGAGAGAAGGGATAAAAAATGCGACAAGGGCGTTTGAATAAAAAAGGCAGGAAAACTTATGAGCCAAGGTTTCTTCAAGCCAATGGACACTCTTCCGCTCGGTTAGAGCTTGGAAACACCACACAACACCACACTGCATAACATTACACTGTGACAACGGAAACTCACGAAATGTTGTCATCTTATTTTCAGTTAAAATGAAATTCGATGTGCCGTTACTCTAGTATTTTTCATCCTTCTCTCTTCTTTCTCTCAAGCACTGATGGAAGAATGTACCTGAGACCGCCTGATCGCAAGCCTCCATTGGGGAGAGAATCTAACAAGTGCAAGCTATTTCTGATGTATATAAAACGAATTCTCCAACACCTAATACGCTTTCATGAGCGTGAAATTCACAGATATGGTTTAAACAGTCGTTCTGAGACTGCTATGGCTCGAAGTTCATTA